GAGCATCATTAAAATCAAATATCAAACTGTGCATGAATATGCTGCAGCTTTCCCATAGTGCTCTGCTACACTAATGATTGTTGTGTCTGTTTAGATCATCCTTCATATATTTGCCCTTGCTCATATATCTTGGTTTCTGGGCCTGCTTCTTTCTTTCTCCTTAGTTACTAGGTGTATATGACAAACTTTACTCCTCCTCTCTTCAATTCTCCCAGATTTTCTACAATAATGGTTACGCGGTCTGGTTTTCACATCCCATCAAAGACTGCTTTTCTTTTACTCTAAAATCTCAATGCTACCTTGCTTTGATGTCCCAGAAGAACAGGAGACAAGATGGGTCAAGCTATTTTATTTTATTGCATTTTAGGTTTTGGGGTACATGTGAAGAACATGTAGGATGGTTGCATAGGTACATACATGGCAATGTAGTTTGCTGCCTTCTTCCCCATCACCTATATCTGGCATTTCTCCCCATGTTATCCCTCCTCAACGCCCCACCCCCACTGTCCCTCCCCTAGTTCCCCCCGACAGACCCCAGTGTGTGATGCTCCCCCTCCCTGTGTCCATGTGTTCTCATTGTTCAACACCCTTCTATGACTGAGAACATGTGGTGTTTGATTTTCTGTTCTTGTGTCAGTTTGCTGAGAATGATGGTTTCCAGGTTCATCCATGTCCCTACAAAGGACACAAACTCATCGGTTTTGATGTCGGCATAGTATTCCATGGTGAATATGTGCCACATTTTCCCTATCCAATCTATCATCAATGGGCATTTGGGTTGGTTCCAAGTCTTTACTATTGTAAACAGTGCTGTAATGAACATTTGTGGGCATGTACCCTTATAACAGAACAATTTATAATCCTTTGGATATATACCCAGTAATGGGATTGCTGGGTCAAATGGAATTTCTATTTCTAGGTCCTTGAGGAATCGCCACACTATCTTCCACAATGGTTGAACTAATTTACATTCCCACTAACAGTGTAAAAGTGTTCCTATTTCTCCACATCCTCTCCAGCATCTATTGTCTCCAGATTTTTTTAATGATCACCATTCTAACTGGTGTGAGATGGTATCTCAATATAGTTTTGATTTGCATTTCTCTAATGACCAGTGATGATGAGCAGTTTTTCATGTTTGTTGGCCTCATGTCTTCTTTTGAAAAGTGTCTGTTCACTTTGCACACTTTCGAATGAGTTTCTTTGTTTTTCTTTCCTGTAAATCTGTTTTAGTTCTTTGTAGATTCTGGATATTAGCCCTTTGTCAGATGTGAAGATTGCAAAAATTTTTTCCCATTCTGAACAGCATTGACACAATGAAGAAAGTGCATCAACTAATGGGCAAAAAAGCCAGCTAGCATCAAAATGGCAAAATCAAATTCACACATAACAATGTTAACCTTAAATGTAAATGGGCTAAATGCCCCAATCAAAAGACATAGAATGGCAAATTGGATAAAAAGTCAAAACCCATCGGTGTGCTGTATCCAGGAAACTCATCTCACATTCGACGATACACATAGGCTCAAAACAAAGGGATGAAGGAAGACTTACCAAGTAAATGCAGAGCAGCCCCCCCCAAAAAAAAAAAAAAAAAAAGCAGGAGTTGCAATCCTAGTCTCTGATAAAATAGACTTTAAACCAACAAAGATCAAAAGAGACAAAGGACATTACATAATGGTAAAAGGATCAATGCAACTAGAAGAGCTAACGATCCTAAATATATACGCACACAATACAGGAGCACCCAGATACGTAAAGTAAGTTCTTAATGACTTACAAGGAGACTTAGACTCCCACACAATCATAGTGGGAGACTTTAACACTTCACTGTCAATATTAGACAGATTAACGAGACAGAAAATCAACAAGGTATCCAGGACTTGAACTCAGACCTGGACCAAGCAAACCTAATAGACATTTACAGAACTCTCCACCCCGAATCCACAGAATACATATTCTTCTCAGCACCACACCACACCCACTCTAAAACTGACCACACAGTTGGAAGTAAATCACTCCTCGGCAAATGCAAAAGAACGGAAATCACGACAGTCTCTCAGTCTACAGTGCAATCAAGTTAGAATTCAGAACTCAGAAACTAACTCAGAACTGCACAACTTCATGGAAACTGAACAACTGGCTCTTGAATGTTGACTGGATAAACGAAATGAAGGCAGAGATAAAGATGTTTTTTCGAAATTAACGAGAACGAAGACACAACATACCAGAATCTCTGGGACACATTTAAAGCAGTGTCTAGAAGAAAATATGTAGCAATAAATGCCCACATGAGAAGCAAGGAAAGATCTAAAATCAACACCCTATCGTCAAAATTGAAAGAGCTTGAGGAGTAAGATCAAAAAACTCAAAACCTAGCAGAAGATAAGAAATAACTAAGATCAGAGCAGAAATGAAGGAGATAGAGACATTTAAAAACCCTTCAAAAAATCAATAAATCCAGGAACTGGGTTTTCTTGAAAATATCAACAAAGTATTTTTTAAACTGCAAGACTAAAGTTCTATCTCAATATAACAGCAAAGTGACAGCAAAGGCAAATTACAAATAATCAATATATGTATAAATATGTTCAGAGCTCAAAACCACTGACCTTCGCTCTTTTAAGGTAGGGTTCAATAACAAGAGAGGTTCCAAAGAAATGGAAAATAGCTTTATTTTATACAGCAAATTAAAATTTAGTAGCATACTAGGCAACTGTATAATCCATTCACACTTGATGGCAGAGCAAACAGTCTCAATTATTAATGATTCTTTATTATGGTCTATATTCTTGACAAGTATACTACGGTGAGATAAATTAGCCTTAGTGATGATAAATAAACTTAAAAATGAAAATCATGATCTAACACTTACTGCTTGCCAAGGAAGATGCTAAGCAATATAAATACATCACCCCATTCAATCCTCATAAGGTACATGAACATGGGACTATAGATCTTACTAAAATGTAACATGATTTAGTCAGGTCAGACAGTAACCTAGCCAGAACAACTTTAGAGCATGCACCCAACTAATTCCTAGCACAATACATCACCTACACGAGAAACTGTCTTAAAACAGCATCATAAATTAGTGAAAACCCAGAAACAGAACACAGAATTGTGGAATCTCTAGAATTTTTAACTTTACCTTTTTACTTTTAAATATTTTTGTGTAGAACATCTTGTCCTCACAGAATTTTAGAGCTGGTGGGGACTCTGGAGGCAGACAAAGGGATGGACGACATTATTTGGTAGATTGGTTTTGTCTTTCCATATTTGTCCTATCTCCTAACTTCAAACCAAGTATTCTTTCTCCATAAATTAATTTCTGAAGTCACATCCAGAATAATATCAAGAACTGGGAGAAAAACATCTCATATAACAGATCTCTTGTACCTACAAAAATGCTTTCTCCCTAAATGAGAGACTCACCTATCAAATTACAATGATACATATATATAAAAAGGATAAATCTGTAGCTGTTTCACTTACATAAAATTTCTCCAGTTTTTAAAGTTTCCAATAGGTGAGGTTGTTAAAACTAAAATTAGATATTAATATACAATGCACTGTTTCCAACATTATTACTAAGTTAGGACTAATTCACACCATTGTAACTAAATTTTACTACTTTTCAGTAACTTCCATTTTGGTTTTGAAGCCACTGTATGCAGTAATGTACAAATACGAAGTAAAAAAAAATCTCAACATCTGAGAAACTACCTTTGTTTGGATTTTTGAAAAAGCTTGATGAGTCACTGCCCTATGAAGTTTAAAAGTATGCTCTAATTACAGTATCTGTTTGAACAACAAAGGGATTCTATAACATGAAGCATTAGAGCATACTGACTGTCCCACTCCTGCTGACAGGCTCTTTTAATTATGCATCTGTAGTCAAGCAAATGAGCACAAGACTTCTGCTCCTACTGTGCTCTTAACGTGAAAGTTCATTCGCCAAAACCCCTCCAAATAGAACTGAAAAGTGTTACATACTGATGCAAACCAAGGTTCCAATAACGTGCTTATTGAGAAAATACAAGTTTTAATCTAAATATCAAAGCTTAGACATATTACCATCTCCAGTTGTACATATAATCTTAAGTTAGTTTAAGAAACGTTTGTTGAGAAACTGGGCATAAAATAGATTTCATAGAATTTAATTCCTCACTGACTCAGTTATAAAAGCAGACCTCAAAAGACTTTTTAAAACCTGAACATGAGTCCAACAAAAATTACATTTTCAAAGCAAATTATTTTTAATAAAATATGAAAATTAGGATAATTTTATATTCAGTCCATTGAAACCATCATCTAAGAAAGCCTTTATAGGCACCAGGCATTCAACAAATACTTATTAAATTAAGCACAATGGAACAAGTTGTTAAATTCAAGTAACCTTTATTGTTTTATGACAAAAATTTCAAAGTTAAAAACAACAGGACTATAACATCTAGCTTCTACGGACACAATACTTAGAGTCTGCCAGGTATAAGGTACATTCCTTCCCATTTTCATACATTAATTCCACAAATTTAGCCATTAATTACTTTATATCTAAACTGAATTTATGTAACCCCAGTACTAGCCAAATAATACTGTTCTGGCCCCATGATGACCAAAATGAGTGAGATTTCTTTAGATATGAGCTACTTCTAGCATGAAGAAACAATTCTGAACAAGATCGATTGAAAAGTTGAAAATGATCTTGATGAAACATAGTTAAGGCTCAGAAGAGTGAATTAAATATGAACAAAAAGTTTCCCATAAAAAGACGGAAGTAATGAAGTGATTTAAAATGTATTTCCCAACAATTTGAAAGCTGGCCAATGTTTAACAAAAATAGTGATAGCAGTATGGATTGTTGAGAAATCCTCTCATAATAGAAACTTTGGGCTGAGTTCCTAGTGCTAACCAGCACCCATATAAAATTAGTTATTGCCCATGGAAGCACAAAATATTTCCTCACAGCATTAGAAGAATCCTTTCACTAATTCACATGTGAGATTTTGTACACTAGGTCTTGTTCTTGCCATCATCTAGAAGACACAAGGTAAGTAAAGGCATAGAAAAATGAGCAATTGTTTTAGAATGTCATGTTTTAAAATATCCAATTGGAATGTTTACTTACTGATAGTACACCAAGGGAAAAATATGTAAATAAAAGACTAACATTTCTACCTATACTTATTTTCCTTTCTAAAGCATTAAAAATCCCAGTTTCAATAATCATCTCTCAATAAAATTTACCCCTTCCCTTCCCGGTCCTCCCCGACAGGATGTTTTCTGAGTTCCTGCTTTTTCTTTTGACATAATCAGTCTGATATGTATGATTCCTAAAATGTTTCAAGGAGTATGGAATCAGACTCATCTCCATATCCTTTAGCACAGGCTTTTTAATAAGTACTCCTTAACTATTCAGTATTTACTAGAGCACAGCATGAGACAAAAATAAAGTCAGTGCAATCAATATTGACTAAAACAAAAAATAACATATAGGGCTTTATACTCAGGACCTGATATTCATAAAACAACTTAATCCTTTTAATAATCTTAGAGGTGGGCATTATAATAATCAATTATTTCTCATTTAAAAATGAGATAAACTGATGGGCAAAAATCTGACTCAATGCACTCAAACTGACTTCAGATGACAGGTCTGCCTTTAAAGACCAGGCAACTGCTTATTAAGAAAAAAGGGTAAATACAGTATTTAAAAGCCAACAATCAAGATTACAATTATTTCATTGAAGACAGTAACAAGGAACAAGATGATTATTTTGAAAAATCCAGATATAGCCTATCTCAAGCAAAGGTCATTAACAGGTTTACGTACTGATGTTAAGTTTTAATGAGAATGAGTGGCAGTACACGGTTCACTGTGCAAAAGCTCCATTTTTCAGAGAGAATCTATTTAGGTATAAACCCCACAGAGATTCAAAACAAAACAACTGTTTTATAGGATTTTTAAAAATATGAATGTTTAATATTCATTTTTCTGATGCGCTAAGGAATTTAGGATACCATACTTACTACACATTTAATAGCCATTTAGTGTTAGGCAAAATGCTTGAACTTATCTATCCCTCGGTTTCCTCATCTACAAAAGAGAGATAAATATAGTATTTACATCATAGAGCTATGATGAATTTGAACTGTATTAGGGTTTGGATAGCACATAGAGTACCCATCATCTAAGAGCTCTGCAATTAATGTTACCATAATGCAACTATGGTATGGACAGGCTGGAATCTAGAAGAGATGATTGTAGGAAAGTACATAAAGAGAAATATTGGGAAAAGATGACTGAACAACAAATAAAATGAAATGACTAGCGGTTATAATTTAGAAAAATAAAATTGGAAATGTACTTTCAGAATAAAAAGTACTAGCTTAATTTATTTTTAATCAACTTAGTCAAGAAAAATGTATTAACCATTACATAAAAATATGAATTCATGTTTAGTTACAATTTTTAGGAAAAAGCAGCTTAATAAAGACACAACTGTAATCTTTGGGGTTTTAGACTGGAAGAGAGCTCAGCTGATCAAAGCACTAAACTGCCCTCCATGAAGGGTTTGGATATGAAATGCTGCATTAAGGAGGATGTTTACAGTATCCTGGAAAGTTGGATAAATTGTGACTACTATTATGCCACAAGCAGTACACAAAATGGATGAAGAATAACAAAGGGAATTTATAAAACTTAATGAAATTGAAGAATGAGTTCAAACACTACCTATTCCTTACCTGTTTTCCCATTACTCTACTCTGATTTCATTTCCCCTAACCCCCGCACTATGCTTCCATTGAACTTTAGGGCTCTAAAATACTTAACATTGTACTTTAATATTCCAGTGTACATAATAGTAAGCTCTAGAAAGCAAAGACTGCTCCTTTTAATTTTCTATATTATTCACAAGCCATTTAAAATAAGTTTAGTACACAACCAGTAGCTATTTTTCTTCTGCCCTGCACAGATCTGAACCTGCACTTCTTTTACAATATTTTCATCAGTTTTAGAAATATTCATTTCTGTATTTCTCTCATATATGTATAAACAAAGTAGCTCTGAATTCTACAAATAAAATGTCAAATACAAATATACTAGTTTTTCAACATACATGCATACTATCATAATTAACATACTACAAATTCATTTAAATAGAACTACAGAATCCATGGTTTCTGTAAGCATTTATTCAACACATGCTAAACTGTCTTTTTGTATTAGAAACGACTTCCCTAAAATACGCATCAGAATTTTTGCATATAGTAAGCACTTAAGAAACATTTGTTATTAAATTTCTAGATTATAAACTGAAAATAGCAGGTAACATAAAATATACTGGTTAAATGATTACTAAATTCCTAAGCCATACAGTGCTTTCTCATGCATTCTACATGTGTATTTTCCTACATCAGTTAGGGAAAATACCTGAAAAATTCAAGATTCATTTAAAAAACTCAATCAGGCAATACTGATTATTTTACTTGCCTTCTTTGAAATTAAAATGAAAAAACACAAAACTGAATTGAACCAGAGTCCCATGATCCACAACCACAAGCAAAGTAAGAATTATGCTGAAGGATCCACATACAGTCTCTGCCTTACTTCCTCCTCAAGCAAAAGATCACAGCCTAACGTTATATATTAGGATTTCCAAAATGTAAGAGAGCAACAGCACATAGTTTACTATGTTATAGAAGGTGTTTCGTCCTTAGAATGTTAAGATAGAAGATTAATAGCAGTTCCATTATTTGTAGTTGGTAGGCTTCGATGCCCTATTCCACCTGTTGGTACTGTGCATATCTGTAGTGTTCATATTGCCCAAATATTAATTTACAGCTGTCTCCATGTAATCGTGAACACATCAGTGAAAAGCAGTGACAAAAACACAACTGTATAGAATAATGACTCTAACTTATGATAATGTCCAGAAATATGTATTTATGTGGGTATGAAAGAGCTACGTTGGCATAAACTTTGAGATTCTTGGCGAGGGAATAGGCATATAATTTATAATTCCATGGGTCTTACCACAGTGCTAAGGCCTTATGCAGTAATCTTTGCTGACTGATAACCAGTGCCCCTGTAATCTTGAGCAACTCATTCATATATTTATTTATTTATTTAGTAATAATTGAGTTTCTACTAGACCCTGTGAGTGAACAAGGTTTATGACAGGCAAGTGAAAACAGACATGCAAGCTCTCAAGGAGCCTACAGACTAGCAACTATTTATTTGCAATTGAGGGAGTGACACCAAAGTTCATTGTGTTATATGAAAGCACATTATCAGGGCTGACTGATCAAGGTTATATGACAAAATGTTAACTACTTTTTGAAATCTTATTTTCTCATCTGTAAAGGTTACAAAGTTGCAAGGATTAAAGAAAGGATGTTAAAGACAGTGACTAGCTCACAACACTTAAGACCTTTACTATGTAACTCCTTCTATCCCTGTTCCCTTCCTAGGTCTACCTTAAAAGATGGCTTTTCAGCTAACAGAGATTCCCCTTAATTCCACTGCAGGACATCGTTTCTGTCATTATGTTAATGTAAGTATAAGCACATCCCCTTTCCTCAATTAAGAAGCCTCAAAATCAAAGCTACAGTAAAAAATAAATTTGCAATTAATCAATGATCCCTCTGGGTTAAAAAATATAGGTCCAGCATGGTGGCTCACACCTGTAATCCCAGCACAAGTGATCTGCTGAGGCAGGCAGATAACTTGAGGTAAAAAGTTCGAGACCAGCCTGGCCAACATGGTGAAACCCTGTCTCTACTAAAAGCACAAAAATTAGCTGGTTGTGGTGGAGTGTGCCTGAGGCCCCAGCTACACGGGAGGGTGCGGCAGGAGAATTGCTTGAACCCGGGAGGCGGAGGTTGTAGTCAGCCGATATCGTGCCACTGTACTCCAGCCTGGGGGACAAAGCGAGACTCTGTCTCAAAATAAAATGCCTGCCCCAAATTATTTGGGATGTCATAATCTTTTCTTGGTAATGACTTTCAACCTTTGAAAGTTCTAGAATTATTAGAGTAATAAGAGCAAATCAAACATAATGTTAATAGTATATATATATCTCTCTCTAAAATATTTGTTACATTTAAAGTTTAACACATTTAAATATCTGAGAGATTATCCTTCTAATTTCAACTGAAAAATATATAGACAGGTACCTACAACACATTCCAGTGATTTTCAAAGAGCTGGATCCAAAGCAACGGTATTCTGTAAAAGCTCTACAGAGCTTTTCCTTGTGCACAGTCAGGTGGCAGCGGGTATAGCTACTAAGAAGAGCATACCTCTATACTCACTGGTTGATAATTTAGATGACATAATGTCTGATGCAGATGAACAATATAATACTAGATGGTGCAAATGCTTAGTGTGTTAACTGGAGTTCTTTCTTTAAATTCCAAAGTGTTAACATATATTTGACACACCCATTCTTCTCAGCAGAAAAAAATGCAAGGGTAATTCCACATCATCAGAAAAACTAGGTGACTTTAGGTCCTCTAGGTATACATTTTTCCTATACTTACACCACCTCTGTCACCCAAAACCCATAATAATCCTAGAGTTTCCTTCCAATCTTTTATTGCAATTTGGCTAACAAAATAACTATAAAAAGTGATATCTTTCTTGTAACCTTTTATCATAATTTGATAAGTGCAACATAACCATAAAAAGTGATAGTTAATGCAGCATAATATGTTAAATAATGCCAATTTTTCCATTTTCTTGAAGGTACTGAATTATTTTCACTTGCTTTAGGTAAGACTTATACATTCAAATATGTTAATAACTTGAAAGCATTAAAAAAAAAATCATTCTTCAATAATGTTGCCAGCATGACTTGGACATAGGTCAACATAAACCCAGCTAACAGCACCACTACAAAGCCTTGTAGCTAATAGACGGCAGTCAAGCTAACATAGGATCATTTTTAGAACAATCTTGTACCACCTTTTTTTTAATTCTAGCTTTTAAAACAGGTAGAAATAGAAATAAACGTCTTCCTTCATGAAAGACAATTATGCAGCCAACCTTTATAATTTCCCCAAACACTATTTTAAAAAAATTCCTGACTTCTTTCTAAAACTTAGACTGTTAAACATATGATTTTTTTTACCACTACTAAATGCCACATTTTATATATTCTATACATTATCCAGTGTTATAATGATTAGCTTGTTAAATGTTAACCATTTTATTATTTTATACTTTACTGTAAATACTTCAGGATTCAACTACATCAGCCAACAAAAGAGTAATCTCTCAGAGGAATACAAAATAAAAGTCAGAGAACCCATGTTTTGTTTCCTTCATTAGAAATCATTTCATGTATGTTCATGTTTCAGAGATATGGAACTAAACTCAAATTCTTCAATTCCTCTCCCTATTATCAACCCATGTAACTATATAATCAAAAATTTATTATTTGCTCCAGTCTTTGCTAACAGCTCTAAAATATGTTTCACTGGTGACAAGAAAGTATTTTCAAAGGGTGGGTTACTTGTCTACTAGTCATTAAAGACATATTTCCTAGGACAAAAAGTAAGTCTACTCTTCCAGAATATCTTTGGCTCGCTTCGCCTTAATTACAAAACAGATGTAACATGCTATTCACCACAACACTAAAACGTGAATGCAATGGAAAACATTTTCTGAGGTATTAAAACATTATAACAACCATATAAAAATCCCTGTAATGATTAAAAAGTAAGCTATCATTAATAATTACTGTGGTTAATTTTGAGAGCAAGGGTTAATTTAAATGTTAATCACAATCATTATAATTAGAGAAAACATCTTTTTGAAAATGACCATAGATACCAAAGGATCCACTAACTGCCTATATTCTAAAACAGTGAGTATTAAATAATACTAAAAATAGTACCTTTAATATCTAGTAACCCTGAATGGTGGATATTAACTTATTTTACAGATGTGAAAATTTTGACAGTGAAACTAACTTAAGTCCTTCAATTAATAAGTAAAAGGTCCAGAACCTGAACTCAAATCTGATTCCTTATTTCATCTCCATTACCACTGTGCCACATGCAAGTATCATGACATTCATTCTTTCTAAGGCCCACAGGAAATGTGCCATGATCCCTGAGGTCCCCTTTTGTCAAGCTGTCTTCAGAGCTCTTTTGTCCTGAATTTCTCTAACAGTCCTACTCATGTGTTCTTATTAATGACATATTTTTACAAGGAACTCTGTATGGCTATATATCTTATCTTTTCATTTCATAGTACTACGTGCTACTTAAGGTTAGGATTCGTGCTCAGCACTTCCTGAAATACCCTTCATACTCAGGTGTTTATTCAATAAAATGAAAAGAATCTGATTGGGGAGAGAGATGATCTATCATGTTCAATGAATATCAACTCTCTAGTTCAGCTCTCTACTTTTATTAATAAACCAGAGCACATACCAAAAGATCCTCATACTGAACAGAAAGCCTAATGACTACTTTTATTGCTATGCTACTCTAAAAAGATAATAAATTCATGTAGCCATATAAGGTATGAAACTCTAAATACCCATTTACATTTTGAGAGAGTAGCAAATGCAGAATTGTTACATTTCTTCCTAGGCTTACCTCACAGTTATTCTTGTCAAAATACAAAATTGACAGTCTATGGAAAAGTAAAATTTATAAACTGAATTAGATTGATTTTCTTTGCAAACCATGCTGAAAGAGTAGCTACTACAATCTACTACAGTATAAATGAAACTTCAACCTCAATGTCTGCAGATCATAAACTGCAAACAATTTATTTACATGTACAAAATTTGACCTTAATGACAACAGTTAATAACACCTAAATTTATTATCTCTTGCCCATCAGTGAAATATATTCTTATTTAATATCAAGAGCCAAAATAAAGCCTTCTTCACAAAAAGGTTACAAAATACTCTTCCTTAAAACGTTCATCAGGTTTTTAATAATTTTGAAAATTATATGCAAGAAACCTGAATGACTAGAAATGAGTCTGTCTTTCAATTATATCCATTACTGGAAAAAACTAAGAACACGTGACCAACAAAAAACAGTATCTATGTAAAACATATGATTTCCAACTTTGCTTATCTCAGCCTCTTCTAGTTAAAATTTATATCTGTCCATCCTGACTACAAAAGGGTAGGCATTGCATCTTATATCTGACTGGATATTCAAACACTTAGCACACAGCCTACCACAAAGAAAATTTTTAAAAGTCTGTTGGATACAAAAAAAAGAAATGAATTCAACTATCTTCAGTTGATGTAAGTTTTTCGTGGAAAACAAGGTTTCCCTAGCCAGCTTCTATAGCTTTTTTTCATTTAAGATAAGAATCAGACATCTCTCTGCATTACACAAATTCTAATAAATTAAAATCTTACTTTAGCAGAAACCTTCTGAATTACCATTTTCTTTCACATTAACTATTAAAACGATTTTGTACACTAAACACATATAATTGGTGCCAGGGAAGAAACCAAAGAACACATACGGCAGGGGCAGGTAAACCCATTTAGTAAACAAAAGCTAAATATAAGCCAAAAAAGGCCAGGTTACCAAGACTGACCTTAAATTTCCAGAAATAGCTGTGCATCATCTAATAATACCTAAATTCACATCCCTCACTCATCAATGAAAGTATCCTTTATTATTAATAAACAAAATAAAGGGAGATACTATTTAGGAAAAAAAGTTATCTAATGTGATTGCTTTGTGGTAGGTCAGCTTAGCTAGGCTAAACTAGTGTTTCCAGAATTTCATTTCTTTTATGTTTCCAGCTGGGATGGTCTCTAAGGTATATTTTTTCAAGAGGTGGACTATAAATGGGAGACAGTGGCCATTTAGTAGCATACATATTCTTTCTCCCAGCTACTCAATCAAAAACGAATCTAATCCAGATGTGGTAGCGCATGCCTATAATCCCAGTTACTTTGGAGGCTGAGGCAGGAGAATTACTTGAACCTGGGAGGCAGAGGTTGCAGTGAACCGAGATTAAGCCACTGCACTCCAGCCTGAGCAAAAGAGTGAGAGACTGTCTCAAAAATCAAAAACAAAAGCAAAAAAACGAATCTAGATACTGCTGTGAGAAATTGGCAGATATAAGATCAGTAATCAGTTGAATTTAAGTTAATTAACAGGGAAATTATCCTGGGTTAACCTGACTTATTCAGTTATAAGACAGCTTTGATCTTCTCTAAACTCAGATATTCTAAACACCAACTGGGTTTACGACTGTGCCCTCTGAATCTTCCTTCCTTACCTCTTGCTTTGTGGATTCTGGACTAGTCAGCATGAACTGTGCAAGCCAATTCCTCATGATAAGGGGGAAGAGCGAGAGGGGGTGGGGGGGAGTGTGCGTTCTATTGCTTCTGTGGTTGAAATAAGATTTTCTTTAAAGCTTCGCCTTCATAAAAATTCTAAAATAAAACTTAAAACATCCCATGAAGCGACTAATATCATAATTACAGCTCATGGTATGAACCCAAGAGGCTAACCTTGTGATATGTGTTTCAAAGTAGTTATAGTATGATTAGGAGTATTTTTAAGCTAAAATAGGAATATTTTTAAGCTAAGTAAATCTATTCCAAAATGTCAAATACTCTGGCCTACAACTACATGGCTAAGCAAGCAAGTAGTATTCATTTCAGTATGAAAACATATTTTATTTAATAAACAGGTTAATCCAATAAATATAATGGAAAACAGTTAAAACCAGAAAAATAAAAAGCCTTCTTGAAATAAGTCATCAAGGCATTAAAGGTATATTGAAAGACAATAAAAGCCCTCAAGCCTCACTTAAAATGAAGGTTTAGAAATTCTGTATTTTTTCCCCAAAAAGGTCCATAATTGAGTTGCAAGCAACTGACGCTGAGTATAATGTATGTGTGTTGTTGAGTGTCATGTATGCACTTATGTATTTCAGGTTTTCTACAAACAGCCTGCACTCCTAACAAAAGACATTAATAAAGGACCCATAGAACAATATTAATCTTACTTTACCTTAACATCCTAGAATACAACCACATTTAGTTACTATCCCATCAAAAGGTATTCTCTTAAAAAATAATTCCCTACATAAATTGTCAGATTATACCACAATGATCTGAGAGATATGAGAGATAAAAAGTGAAAAGATTTGATTACATAGCCAATGTCAGTTATTGCTGGACTTATTTTGTACCTTAAATAGAAAACAGTCGCTAATTACCTATGCCAGGAAAAGTCAAATATTCAATATTTAAAGTGCCTCCTCAAAAGTTTAATAAATTAGCAATAAGATCACTTGAAATTCCACTTCATATACCGAATGACCTATCGCCATATCATTATGTGATGTATCCCTTTTCAAACTGTTTTCATACCAATATGCTTTTATCACTAAACAAAAACAAAGAGTTTAAAACTGCATTTTTGAACGTTATAGTGTCAAGATGTAGTATATGCTGAATCAAGTGTATTTGATCAAATTTATTCATTTCTCCATTGCCCCATAATATTCCGCTATACAAAGAACCACAATTTATATTTCCATCTCTCCATTTATGGACACTTACATTGATTTATTATTATTATAAACAATCCTGCAGTGAATATCCTCATACCCATCTTCCAAAACACATGTGAGCCAATGTGGCAATTCCTCAAGGGTCTAGAAATAGAAATTCCATTTGACTTAGCAATTCCATTACTGGGTATATATCCAAAGGATTATAAATCGTTCTATTATAAAGACACATGTAAACGTATGTTCGCTGCGGCACTGTTTACAATAGCAAAGACCTGGAACCAACCCAAATGCCCATCAATGATAGACTGGACAAAGAAAATGTGGCACATGTACACCATGGAATACAACGCAGCCATCAAAAACAATCAGTTTGTGTCCTTTGTAGGGACATGGATGAATCTGGAAACCATCATTCTCAGCAAACTGACACAAGAACAGAAAATGAAACACCGCATGTCCTCACTCATAGGCGGGTGCTGAACAATGAGAACACATGGACACAGGGAGGGGAGCATCGTACACTGGGGTCTGTTGGGGGGGAATAGGGAAGGGACAGCAGAGGGTAGGGAGGCTGGGGAGGGATAACATGGGGAGAAATGACAGATATAGGTGACGGGGGCATGGAGGCAGCAAACCACATTGCCATGTATATACCTATGCAAAAATCCTGCATGTTCTGCGTATGTACCCCAGAACCTAAAATGCAATAAAATACATATACATATATATAAAGATAAATGTTACTTTTCTCTTAATTGGGTAGGATGAAAAAAAAAAAAAAAAAAAAAAAGACACAGACACAAAATAAATTTCCTTAAAACAGGACCTAAAAAAAAAAAAACACTTAGCAGACAGTGCCAAATGGCTTTCCAATATGGCTATGTCTATTTATACTGACCTCACTGTGTGGAGGTTCATATTTTTCCCTATCTTAGACATAGGTCATAATTTTAACTTTGATAACTCAATGGGCATTAAATGGTACATAAAGGTGCATTCCCTTGAGTATTAATAAGGCAAAGCATCTTCTCAAATGTTCATTGTTAATTCAGGTTTACTGTCCTGTGAATTGCCTGTTCACATACTTTGTTCATTTTTAATTGAATTTGTGATCTTTTAAAATTGTTTTTGAATTTTTAATATATTCTAAATACACACATTTTGTTACATATGTTGCAAATATACTCCCACTCTGTGGCTTGTCTTTTAAATGAGGTATGGTGTCTTTTGCATAAAAAGGATGTTTTAAAAACATTTCAATGTAGTTATAGCTATTGATACTCCTTTGTAAGTTTTCTAATCAGTAATCCTGCTTTATGATGAAGTCACAAATGTATCTCCTAAATATTTCAATGTAGTTATAGCTATTGATATTCTTTTATAAGTTTTCTAGTCAGTAATCCTGCTTTACGATGAAGTCACAAATATATCTCCTATGTTTTCTTCTAGTGGCTGAGTTTTTTGCTCTTCATTTATGGGCATGTGATCCATCCAAAAAATTATTTTTGCATATGCAAACTCAACTATCTTATTATCATTTATTGAATTCATGCTTCCCACTTCTCACATAAGTTTCTCTCCATCTAACCCTTTCTTTCCACAACATATACATACATACCCTAAATATCTTATGTGGATATGCAAATATACATATACATATCCAAAATAGCTTAGTCTAATTCCATTGGTCAATCTATCCCTCAGCAATATAAACAATTATGAAACTGATAGGAATTAAAGTTCTGAAAGCACTCCTCCATCTTTTGTTTCCTTTTAGAACTGTCCCATTTACCAGGGCAATTTTACTATATTAAGAATTCTATAATCAATTTATTCAATTCCATCAGAAAAAAGTTAGAATTTCTAACTAGATTTTACTACAAAGATTTGAAAATATACCTTTAAGATAAACACTTTATACCAGTTTTCAAATTTATAGCTCTAGAGCTGTTTGTTGCATTCTCCATGATTTCTTAAATACTTACAGTATTTCAAATTTGGCCCTCAATTCTACTTACTTAGACATATGTTAAAAAGCATTTTAGGGTTGTTTTTGAAACACGATGTGTCTCTCTAATGCTGTAAGCTAGGCAGCAGTAGGCCACAGGTGTTTCTGTGTAACCACTGATTGAGTGAGCTCTGAGCACCCTGAATGTTCCCACTGAGTGTGCCAGAGTGCAAGGTTTATCTCCTCTGGATAAGCAGTTTCTGCAGTGACACAGACAACTGAGGAGGTCAAGAGTAGAGGACTGTCTTGTCTGCTTCTTGCTCACAAAGTGCAGGGACCTTGGCCCTGGACTCCTTTCCTGAAGTGCAGCCCACCGAGAGCAGGAGTTTTCGGCCTCTGCATTGCCCTGTGCACACCGGGGCTCAGAGCATCAGTGCAAGTAAGCTGACACTCTGCTACTATTTTTGCTGTAAAAAATAAAGGACAGCTTCTGATTCAGGAGTCCTGTGTCATCTGCCAGCATCCATGAAACTGTGGTGGTAAGCTAATTTATTTTACAAGTAGGATAAAAGTCTCAGTCACTTCACATTTCTTGACAACAGTGTGTACATAAACTTGAAATGGCCTGGGAAGAAATTCTAGAGGAGAATAATAAGTCATTCTTTTAAAAATGCTGCATCATCAAACATTCCTGGTAGCACAGATTGCTTGTTTCATGTCCTGAAAAACATGATACTGAACTCTATGAAAAAATCTTAGGCATTCACTAATTAATTTCACTTACATTTTTCATTTAACGTATACCACAGGATACGGTGAAATGACAGGGCTTAATAAGTTTAGAAAAAGCGTATTTTGTACACAAATAAAAGCTATGTGTACTACAAGTTCTCTTGTCAATTTTGTCTCTTTTGTTTTATATATTTTATTATGTATATTTTATTTATTTAATTACAATCAAATTCACTTCTACTTGTTTTTTCTTAGTTTTATAAAGGTTGTCTCATTTGTAAATTTTCAAAGAAACATCCTTCATTTTAATTAATTATCAATACAGTAGTCCTCCTCTTATCCACAAGTGATATGTTCCAGGACCTGCAGCGGATGCTTGCAGCCAGGTAGTACCAAACACTACATATGCTATGTTTTTTCCTATAAATACATTACTAGGATAAAGTTTAGTTTATAAATTAAGCACAGTAAGAATGTGATCTCTCAAAATATCTTGTACTACACCACTGGTAACTAAAACCATGAAAAGCAAACTGTGGATAAAGAAGGACTACTGTAAAATTTTCAATACACTTTCTATTTATTAAATTTTTAATCTACTCTGTTCTTTCCAGATTCTTAAATTAAAACATACATCCTTTATGGTCAACTCTTAGTTTTTTATTTCCAGCTCGATTCCACTGTGATTAAAGAATATACTGTGAATAATTTCAGCTGTCTCAAATTTCCTGAAGCTTTATGGACCAGTATGTGGTCAATCTGACATGTTCCACTTATACTTTGAAAG